CACTGGCCTGTGAGCTTCCTGCATTCAGCGTCACTGCGTATGTTGCGTGAGTTTGAAGAGGAATTTATAGATTGGTATCCGACATATGGGCTAATATCGGACTTATGGACTTGATCTGGACAGGCCTGGGGTGTTTTCTTAATATACAATTACTCTTTGATATAAAACTCTCTCTTACACACACATGAGTGTCTCCCTGGATTTGTTTCTCTAGTCAACCCAGACTAACACAAGTTGATTCCCACTAACGGGCGGTTCTATGCATGTCAGTGTAGACCTGTATGCCATGGGGTGTCCAGTGGCTTCTTTTCCAGACCTAGGCCTCCAGGCCTTTCTTCAGAGGCACCTCTGAGTGAACTCAACCTCCAACCTTCCAGTTAGCAACCAAGTGCTTCTGGACCACCGTTCGTATCCCCCAGAGGCTGTCTTGTTTGACGTGGCCCAGGAAGTGACCCAGGTGGGATTGGATTGCCCCCAAAAGAGTTACCCAAGCCCTCCCTGTCCTTATCTGACTGTCTGTGACCTCGATCTCACCAGAGATCCTTTCTTTACTAAAGCCTGGCAACCAGAGGCACGCACCCACTCCCCATCTTTGTGAGATAGATAGATAGATAGATAGATAGATAGATAGATAGATAGATAGATAGATAGACCAAATAAATAAAGAACCCCTGCATTCTATGGAAAACCTAGCTGGAGCTGGGCAGTTTCTATAGGAATGGTCCAGGATCTGGAGGCCATGTGGCTCAGTGGATCCATTATCTTCTGCACAGGGAATCTCTGAGCCCCGCCGGCTGTTCTCTTTACTGCCCTCCTCCTTGGATCTCACCTATGCTAGAGGACTGGAACAGGCCCACTTCGTAAGCATCTGACTCAGGCGGGGGGTTTTATATCCTGCCTCATTCAGTCCTCACGAGAAAACTTGAAACGTAGACATCATTAGCCCCATTCTACAAATGAGATAACTGGGCGAATAGAAATGAAGTGATTTGTCCCAAGGCCATAACCCTAGAAGTCCGCTGCCGTCACGTCAATTCCAATCCATAGAGACTCTGTGGGGGCAGTAGAACTGCGCTCCGGAGGCTATTCCAGGCAGTAAATCGCTCACGGAGCCAGACGTGCCTCCTGTTTCTCCTGCTAGCCAGCTGGTGCGTTCAAACCGCTGACCTTTTGGTTAGCGGCTCAACACATGACCGGCGGTGCCACTAGGGTTCTGCCCAAAGTCAAACAGCTAGTAAAAGATGGGGCTGAGATTGGAACCTGGCTCCAAAATTCTCTGCTGGCCCCACTGCAGCAGACTGCTTTCCCAGAGCACGGATATCTCACAGGGCAGGGGTCACATCCCATAATTCTCTCTTTCTGTCGCCAGCATTTCATACGGCGCTGGCTCAGAGCAGGAACATGAGGTTTATTGGATGGATGGATGGATGGAGGGATGATGGATGGATGGACAGACAGGCTGATTAAGAGAGATGAATGAAACTTGACATGGGGAGAGCTCAGTCTTCCCCTTGAGATCCAGGAGGGCTTGGGGACGTCGGGTCCTGCTGCTCTGGGACAATATGTTGAGCAGTACCCTCGGGCCACAGGAAGCAAGATTATTTGGGGATTGCTTCTTACTTGCCTCCTGGGGGGGGAAAATCTTCACTGGATAAACACACAGCCTCCTTGCTGGAGCCCACTGCAGCCTGACACCTGGGGAAGCCAGAGGCTGGGAAGCCCAGGAACAGCAGCGATGTCTCTGCACGCTGTACCAACAGCCCATGGCAGTGAGCTGGGGTCTTGGATCCAGGGTGGCTTTGCTGGGAGGCCTCCTCGGGGCAGCCCTCCTGTGCCCCCTATTGGACTCCAACAGCACTGCGGTGAGCAGCAGCATCCCCGCGTTAAAGAGGAGAACACCGAGGATTAGAGACACTAATTTGCCCAGGACCCCACAGCGAGTAAGATGCTGGGATCCAAGCCAGGTCTGCAAACCTCTGCAAAGGGGTGTGCTTGACTGGCTGTGGGGTATCTGAGCACAAATGAAGGTCTGTGTGTGAGTGTGTGCAACAATGTGTGTGCACGTGTGTGGATGTGCACATGCATCGATCTCAGGCCTGGGGGTGTGTCCACGTGTGCAAGATCTGAGGTCCCAAGGCAGGCTGGAGGGCTCAACGGCTGCACATGGAAATCGGTGTGTCTGCTCTATCTGTCCCCCCAGCCCTGTGGTCATGCTTCTCCCCAGCAACCTTTCTTCTCCAGCCAGTGTGGCTTCTAGACCAGAGAGGGCACCTCTTCCTTTTGTGTCTGTCCTTGAGAGCGAGTCTCTTTCAGGGAGGGAAAGGACATGGGTCAGGAATCTCCCACACCTGCCATCCTCTCGACTCCCTTGACTGAAGCCAAGCCTAGCTGGCAAAACGCCCGTCCCAGCCCTGACCCAGGCTAGCAGCATTTCTCTCAGGTCTGAGTGTCAACCCACCAACCAGTCATCAGAGCAGCCCCCCCTCCCCCCATCACCATCCCCTCCAAGTGGCTTAGCGACCTCGGACTGTGCTGCGCTGAGCATTGGAAAGGGCTCCACACCTGTGACCTCAGTTGAGCCCCACAACAACTGTGTGGCAGGCTGGGTGCGCAGCGTTGTCTCCATCTGCGGCTACCAGAAGAACCTGACTCCACATCCCTTCCGCAGGAATGCAGCAAGGTAGACATCAGAGGCAGCTCAGGGTGAGGACCGTGCCAGTTGCGTTGTTGGATCATCCAAGAAGCAAAGTAAGCAGGGGCTTATGTACGGATCCGTGGTGAACAATTTATTTTTCCACATAAAAGAGTCTGCTTCTTGATATGGCTGGCATCTGTCTCTCTCCCAATGCCCCCAACCCTCTTCCTACAGGATCAAAGCCTCCTTTCCGATGTATAATCCCTGACAGGGACAGAGTACCCAGTGAGCGACGCCACTCACCCCTGCCAGAGGGTTATTGTCTCACGATCTTCCGCTATGAGAGGACCTCCCAGGAATCCAATCTCATTCTCGAACAGCCTACTTATTTTCCGGGGCTCAGCTGCTGCTTGGCTGTGATCAGATGGGACGACCAGAGCAGCCTTTACATCCTCAGAAAAGCCTCCAGACCATCGGGCCAAACTCATCAGGTTCCTCTTGGACACCTGTTTATTACTTCTTACCGCCCAGGGCCACGTCGTCAGTGCCCGGGAAATGCTGGTGACAGTTAGGGGAGACCTCCTGCAACTGATTGCTCTCTCCTGTGAACGCTCTAGAGCCACTTGGGGGATGCCCAGTCCAGTCATTGTCCAGGAGGAGGTGGCCACAGTAGGGACGCTGTCATTGATTTTCACCAACTCCTCAATAACAAAAATATGCCATCGTAGCTCTTGTCCCCACCCTAAGAATCGCAGGACACTCTGTCATCCGGACCTGCCCTGGGAGAGCCATGGGAACGAATGCAGACCGAGACCTTAGCTGATGGGTAACCAGCCGCCCTGAGTCGACTCTGACGCCCACCTACCCCATGTGCTCCAGATGACTTCCTTCCCCTTCAACAAAACCAAAAACCAACACTGTGCTTTGGGCGAAAGTTTACCTAGAATGAGTTTCCCACTCAACCACAGATGCACAACCCCACAGGGCTTTCCACGGCTCATTCTTCTAGACGCGCCACGCCTTTCTTCTGAGGCACCTCCGGGTAGGCTCCCTCCTCCCACCTTTTGGTGAGCCGCTGAGTGCTTGACCTGTTGGTACTACTCAGGCAGGGGGACCTGCAGCCCTGCCCAGCAACGGACACAAACACGCAGATAACTAAACCCACTGCCATCGGGTCGATTCCCACCCATGGTGACGACCCGAGAGGCCTGGGTAGAACTGCCCCCTGTGGGTTTCTGAGATTGGAACTGTCTACGGGAGGAGACAGCCCCATCTTTCGCCTGCCAAGTGGCTGGTGGTTTCAAACTGCTGGCTCAACGGGGAACCCACTACACCACAGGCTGAAATCCCTGGTCCTGGCGCCCCACCCAGTTCCGATGTGAGATCCTCTGGGACCAAGGCCGTGCCCGTTGACCCCACAGAACAGGCTCTACCTTCCACCTAGATGTTCATTCCTGAACCCCTTGCAGGAGCACACAATCTCATCTCAGGCCAGGGCAGTGCCACCCCTTTGGGGCCATGTCCGAGAGTGGCAGCGCCCAGCATCTCCTACCTGGGGGAGAAGGGTCCCTCTGCTGGCCGATCCGGGGCTAGCGCTTCACTCGGCCAAGGCATCCAAGCTGCTGGGGCACAAGAAAGGGACCTGTTCCTCCTCTCTTGTGCCCTGAGTATATGTGTGTGTGGAGGGGGGTGGGGGTGATGGGAGCACCCACAGGCACAGTCTTGGCAAGTGGGGGCAGGCAGGCAGTGAGACCACAAGGAAACCCGACAGGAAGAAGCCACAACCAGTGTTTGTTCTCTAGGGCTTGGATCACCTCCTTGTGATCCTTCCGTATTCCACAGAGCAAAACCCGGGGAAAGGGGTCCTGTGTGATGCCTGCAGGGACTTGGGGCAGCCCCTGGGTCCCCGTGTGTGACAGGGAGGCACCCTCCACCACGTAGCCACCCTCTCTGCTACAAGGAGAAGCCTGAGGGGAGGGGAGGAGACCCCTCTGGAGCGGTGGTGGGAGCAGGGCAGAGGCACAAACCAGACATAGCCAGTAGCCATCAGTGAGAAGAATGTGGATTTAATGGAATGAAGGGTAGACAGAGTTCTCACCCACCCACCAGCCCCTGCCCAGGGCCCAAAGACCCATCTCAAAGAGAGGCCGTTTCAGAGCTGATCAAACCAGCCCTGGAGCCGGGGAGGGGGTGTGAGACTCCAGCTCAGAAGGCAGGTTGAGAAGTATCCCCCTTTGTCTTCTCTGTCGCGCTCAGCTGGGGAGGTAGGGAGGGCAGGAAGCACAGCGGGCTACTTCTGCCCTGGCCCTTCTCCAGCTGTCCCGGCACTGCGCTCACAGGCGTCTATCCTCCTAGCAGCTGGACTCCAGTTCTGTGAGTCTGAGAAGTGAGGTCCTGGGTGTGGCAGGCGTGCCGGGTCCGGCCTGGTTCTTTTGGGGCAGGTCCGCAGCCGGGCACGCGAGCTGGCGCAGCCTCTGGATGGAGTAGAGGCAGCTGTTGTGAGGCAGAGCGGGGGCAGGGATGCCAGCCTCCCCCATCACCAACATCTGCCTGCCTCCTCCCCAACCCCTGTAATCGCCCAAACCCCTCGTCTCCTCCATCGCGTCAGCTCAGCTAATGGACAGCTAACGGTTAGTGCTCCCTCCCCACTCACACCCACACTAGGGTTAGCTGCTAACCCTAACGGACAGCGACAGCGTAGGACTGCCCTCTTAGGGTTTCAAGGCCATACATCTTTGTGGAAACAGACTGCCCTGTCTCTCTCTTGGGGAATGGCTGGTGGGTAGGAACAGGGGGCCTGCTCTGTTAGCAGGCCAATGCTTCCCCTGAGTTCCTCCCACAATCACACAGCCCTGGAATAATCCCTGGAGCCACCTGGGGCTGCAACAACCCGGCACTCAATGATGGCTGTGATTGGCTGTTGACCCAGGGCGACGCCAGGCCCAACAGAAGGAAGCGCTGACTGGCCCCACACCTGCTGTGTAAGGAGGGGCTTCGCAGCGTTCATGCAAAGCGGAATGAAAAGGTAACGGATTTTCCTCCATGGACTTTTGGAAGCCCCTTCCTAGTCTGAGTGTCTTCCAAGCTAAGAGGGTCCCTCTTCCAGTGCTCTTTGGGCATCTGGAAGATTTTCATTGGTTAATTTTCAGAAGTAGATTCCAGATCTTTCTTCTGGGTGCTGCTCCGTCTGAAACCTGTCGGGCATGGGTGGCCCAGTGGTAGAGCTTCTAGCAGCACAGCAACGCAGAAGCACTCCAGCAGGTCAAACACACAGGGGCGGGAGAGGGGGGCGCTGAGTGCTCCCTCCCCACTAACACCCACACTAGATGCACTGTCGTTGTTCCCCCCACCCCCTCTTTGTACCAGCTCCTGCCCTTAGCAAACAGCCCACCTATCACCCAGGGATCTGACTTCTTCTGCTAAGGCTGCTTGCTCCTTGGTAGCTCCCTACCTCTCTGAAGGAGCCCTTGAGCATGCTGAGTTTGTAGACGCCCCAGGCGGGGATGCAGACCATGGAGGACAGAGCCAGGAGCCAGCCCAGGGAATCGCCCCACCACGGGTATGTGTACTTCTTGTTGTAGGTCAGCGGCGTGTACTTGACCAGGGAGAAGAGGAAGGTGGCCTGGAGCGAGAGCAGGAGGTGGCGGAGTGACGAGAGGGAAGGGACCCTGTGTCCTCAGCATCCCTTCTGCAACAGCTTGCCCAGCAGAACCCACACTCCTAGGTGAGATTTGTCCCTGAGCTCTTCTGGGCCAACCAGCCTCAAATCTCCAGCCTCTTGTGCTCTGGGGGCACATACACCATCTCTCCTAGCCCTTGAGTCCCCAAGCACCTCTCCCATCTTTGGCCCTGCCCCCGAATCCAGGCCTGACGATGGGCCTGGTGGAACAGGGTGGCTGTCAAACTCAAAACTCAGTGCCATCGAGTCAATTCTGACGCATGGGGACCCTACAGGTCAGGGCATCACTACTCCTGTAGGTTTCCAAGACTGCAACTCTACGGAGACGCACCCAAGGAGCGTCCGGTGCATCCCCTTATGGAAGGGTCGTGGGGAGGAGACGAGCCAGTCAGGGTGCAGGAAAGCAACGATGAAACATACAACTTTCCTCTAGTTCCTAAATGCTCACACACACACACCCCGCCCCCACCCACTATCATGATCCCAATTCTACCTTGCAAGTCTGGCTAAACCAGAGAATGTACACTGGTACAGATAGGCACTGGAAACACAGGGAATCCAGGGCGGATGATCCCTTCAGGACCAGTGGTATGAGTGGCGATACGGGGAGCGTAGAGGGAGGGTGGGTTGGAAAGGGGGAACCGATTACAAGGATCTACATGTGACCTCCTCCCTGGGGGACGGACAACAGAAAAGTGGGTGAAGGGAGACGTCGGACAGGGCAAGATATGACAAAATACTAATTTGTAAATTATCAAGGGTTCATGAGTAGGGGAGAGCGGGGAGGGAGGGGGGAAATGAGGAGCTGATGGTGGGGGGGGGCTTAAGTGGAGAGAAAATGTTTTGAGAATGATGACAGCAAGGAATGTACAAATGTGCTTGACACAATAGATGTATGTATGGATTGTGATAAGAGCTGTATGAGTCCCCAATAAAATGATTTAAAAAAAAAAAAAGGAGCGTCCGGTGGTTTCAAACGTGTGGTTAGCAGCCCAACAAGTCATCCACTGCCCCACCGGCGCTCTTCTGGGGTGGTGGCAGGAGGCGCTTAAGTCTTGTGCGTCTTCTTCTGAGGTGCTGTGAGGATCTCAAGGGCAGGGGCCCTGCCTCTTCCCCCACCCCACCCCACCTCTACCTCATTTCTAGCTGGCCACAGCGGGCGCACACCGAGCAAGCAGCCCGGAACTGGGGAGCCTGATGGCACCCCAGCTCTCCACCACGCGGCAGCTGGAGCAAGCCACTCGGCCTCTTGGCTTTGGTTTCACCTGAGAAATGCCTATCACGGCAACCCTATCTCAGGAAGGATTAACTTTCCTTTCCAGGAAGGGTTAAGTTGCCTAACATGCAGAAACTCTTTTGTGTCTGACAACACGTGCGTGTGTGAGCTCTCTGGAGCGGCCGCTGGTCCCCATGGCTGCTGTGTGCCATGAGGATATGGCAGCCTGTGTGCCTCTATTTGAGTCTGGCTGGGACGGGAGACTCACGCTGTGGTGTTGGCTCAGACCCTCAGACAGTCCTGGGCCTCAGTTTAGCCTTCTGTGAAATGGACAGGAAGAATCTACCTGGTTGCCACTGTCTAAAACCCAACAGGAGAGTGAATGAAAAGTGAAGGTGATTTTGAATCCTCAGCCCTTCCACCTCTAAAGTTCTCTCTGCCCTGTACCCACTACGGTCTCTCTCCCCCTCCAGCTGGCTCTCCCCCCTTTGAGGGTGATCTTACTGTGCACACAGCTGGCGTGAAGAAAATCCAACAATATTTGATAAGAGGCCATGGCCTGTATCCAATCATGTCTTCGATGTTGTCATAGAAGCGCCCAGCTCCTACCAGGGAGAAGAGGAAGGGCAAGAGGGAGAAAGGGACATTCTTTAGCATCCAAAGCGACAGGATGAGGACCATGCAGGCCGGGATGGGTGAGTACCAATACATCGACCATAGCCCTGTCGTCTTTTCAAAGCCCTGCTGGAATTGAGGACTCATCCTTTATCAATAGGTATCAACAGCAGCAGGCAGAACTTGGCTTAGGCAAAAGGTCAGAACTTCTTATTGGAGAGCCTGTTAGAGGTTAAAGAAGGACCGGGTGCGATCGTAGAGAAGAATCCTGATCAAAAGGGAGAAAAATGAAAACCAGATTTGAAATTCTCATGGCACCCAGACACCCTGGAGCCAAGGAGTCTGGCTGAGCTCCTGGCACCCTTCTCCCGAGAAATCCAGCAACATCCCCAGAGCTCATCTTTAGAGGCAAAGAGCGGCTTAGCGCGATGAGCACCCAATGCCTGCGTTGAGCGGTGTGCCATTCTCAGATCCGTCTAGATGGGATCCCATGGGCAACAGCAACTTGAAAGAGTAATTAGGCAGGAACTTTGCGGGGCCAAGTTCATGTGGGTGTGGGAGGGATAACTCAGAACAAAGGTGAGGAGAAGAGCTTCCGCGTGAGGAACGTCCTCAGTGTCACTTGATGGCGCGTGGGGAAACCGTTGAGTCTGGGAGGTCTGCTTTGCTGTGTCCATCCGTAACAACAGCAAAAACAAAATAAAGTTGACAACGGAGACAACAACGCAGGGAGGTGCTGGAGGAAGCTACCACTGGAACAACTTAGGCTCCTCAAGGTTTGTGAGGTTGGGGGGCATGGTCCCCAGGAAACAGTCAGTGTGGAGAGTGGGTGTTCCCCTTTTATGACGAGCCCTGGAGGACTGGAGGGGGGGTACTCACCGTACACCCAGGCCACGCAGAAGGACTCAAAGATGGCCACGAACAGGAGGCACATGCCACTGGCTGCGTAGTAGTCAAAGAGCTGGAACACGTACATGCCGCCCTGCCAGGAAGAGGCGTGAGAGAGAACATGACCCAGAGGACTCTGCTGCGTCCCCGGGCCCTCCAGCCTCGGTGAGGACCACCAACCTAGTTGGTAAACCGTGAGCCATTAGACGGGTGTGAGAGGCTTCGCTGTGATTGTTTTGGGACGGAAGAGAGATGAGAGATGAAATCCAACAGCTAAGGCCAGCTTATCCCTGAGAAACTTGACGGGTTGACCTCAGAAACCCAAGGCACCGTGTGTAATTTTTGGTGAGGGTTCGGGATAAGAGCATCCTATCAACCCGTTGACGAGCTCCATCTGCAGCCTTTCCCCTGGAGATGTCGCACAGAATGCCACCCCTCCTCAGGGGTCCCAAACACTTGCGTGTGCCATCTGAGAAATGGTAGAGGCTTGGTGGAGCGGCAGTTTTGTCTAACCCAAGACCTCTCTGGCCGTCCTTTCTCTGCCTCCTAGTGCAACATGGAGCCAGCTTACCTTCTGCTCACCCCCAGAAGCAGGGGGCTGGTGCCCAGAGGTCAGGGGAGGGACTTGCCCCCTTGGTGCCTCTCTGGGTGGGAAACAAAGGATGTCCTTGTGCCCTGAACCCATGGCAGCCTGCTCCTCTTCCTCTGGGGGTCCCAGCCCCTCACCTCTGTGAGCATGACCAGCCCCACCAGGAAGGAGACGACGGACACCGCGAGAATGAGGGTCTCCCTCCGGTTCTTCTTGCGGAACACGCGGGGGTACATGTCTACCAGCGCCGTCACCAGGCTCTCTACGCACACAAACTGGGTGAGAGGGCAAAAGAATTGGAGGGAGAGAGAGCTCCCAAAATAAGCTACACTGGTGAGCGGGGCCTCTAGCAGCCCTCCTCGCCCAGCCTTGCAGGCCCAGGTCTGAACCCACCCACGAAGAGCACCCACGTGGGATCATCACCCAGTCCCCACATGCTTCCCAGTGTTTCAGGGCAGGAAGCTCAGCCTGGTGCCCATCACCCCCCTCTCCCAGCTCCCACCCTGACCCACTCTTCCCGGGCTCTGGGGGAGCCATGCTGGTACCTGGCTGTCCAGTCCCAGGAGGACGACCATGAAGAAGAAGCAGCAGGCCCAGAGCGGAGAGAAGGGCAGCATCACCACAGCCCGGGGGTAGGCGATGAAAGCCAGGCCCGGCCCTGCAGCAGGGCAGAGGGACACAGTGCCATGCTGGGCCTTCCAAGGACGCTCGGAGTAGGGCTATGGGATGGCAGGCACTAGAGGAATGCCCAGGAGCTCTGAGGGCACCGTGGTTAAGTGGTCAATCAAAAGGTGGGCAGTTTGAACCCCCCAGCCACTCTGTGGGAAAGAGAGGGGGCAGTCTGCTTCTGTAAAGACTTACAGCCTTGGAAACCCTGTGGAGTAGCTCTCCTCTGACTCTGATGGTCACGGAATCATTATCGACTCACGTCAAAAGCAAATTTCATCACACAGTGACATTGCTACCCCTGTGGACACCTGGGAGAGGCCACCCAAACCTCTGTCTTCCCCCAAACATCCAAGACACCACACTGCCCGCCCCCCCGGCAGGACCAGAACCAGAGATCTGGGTGTAAACGGGCTTTGGGGAACAGAAAGAGGCCTTTCTTTCCCCATTTCTCTACCCCTAAGTCCCCAGGCCTCATTCTGCCCCAAACCAGAGATTTCAAACTTTTAGAGCCCAGGAGCCAGCCAACTTGAGACTCACTGCCATCGAGTGATTCTGTCTCACAGCGACCCGATAGGACAGGGTAGAACTTCCCCTGAGGTTCCTGAGACGTCCGAAGGTTACAGGGTGTTTCTCTCTCAAAACCAGTCCCCTCCCTGGTTGATGGGGTCACACCAACACCTGCATCCCAGGCCTACATGCCTCATGCAGGTAAGATGCAGCCATGCTGGGCTCACCCACGTTAGACAGTCTCATTCCCACTAAGGACCGGGCCACCGCCACCACCGGTTCTTATTATCTCTAGAGCCAGGGGCCTGGTCCTCAGTGCTTTGCGTGCAGAGGTGTGCTGGGGGAGGCTGTGATGAAAGCCGTCGTGTGGCATGAGCAGCGCACACACCGAAGCTGAGCAAGGGAAACATTTCGTCGTTCCTGGAGATAGGGGGCCAGTCCTTCCTAGACTTTATTTCACGGACAAAGAAAGTAGCAGCAACTGAAACCACAGCCCGACGGGGAGAAAGTCATTCCCCAAGGAGGAAGCTACGCAGGGAGGTGACCTTATCTCTCAAATACACCTCTAACGTTGGTGAAACAAGATAAGGTGCAGAACCGGGTACAGAGGGTGCTATCCTTTGTTAAAGGGGGTGGGGGTGGGGTTAGAAAGAGAAACCTTGTACATCGAATGTATCTGAAAACCAGCTGCCCCGTGTCCAGTCTGAGGGTCAGAGGAGCACGGGGAGCCAGAGGGTGTTCAATGGCTGAGTCTTGGAAGCGGATCACCAGGCTCTCTTCTTGGTAGGCAAGCACAGTCACTGTTGGCTCACCCACAGACTCCTCTGTGCATTATAAAAATTGTTTATCTATGTCTAAACCAGTGGCTCTCAACCTTCCTAAGGCTGCGACCCTTTAATACTGTGCCTCATGTTGTGGTGACCCTGTATGCGGGCAAATCTGCACATGGGCGGACCCGCCTGGAGACGGATAGAGGAGCGGTGTCTCGGTTCCTCAGACCACTGGAAGTATGGTCTTAGGCGACCCTGTGAAAGGGTCATTCGGCCCCCAGGTTGAGAACCACTGTCTAAATGATTTCTGGAAGGCCAGGCAGGACACTCACAGCACAAGGTATCTCGGGGGTAAGGAGCTGGAGGCCAGGGGCAGGAAGGAGACCTTCCCTGACTCGAGTTGAACCCTGTTCTGAGCCTTCCTGCACTCTCTGTTGAAAGCTAGCCCCGGTGAGCCCTGAAACCATCGGCCTGTAAGACTTCAGACCAAATAGCCCCTGATGGCATCTGAAATCCAAACAGTAGTTTCGCTTAGCTAGTAACAAACATGTTTCGTAATCTGCCTTGAGCATTGATGCACTTTCAAGAATGATCTAAACTAGAAACTCCCTTCCGTCAAACTGATGCCGACGCATAGCGACCCAGTAGGACCGGGCAGAACTGCCACTGTGGGTTGCTGAGACTGTCGCTCTTCGTGGGAGCAGGGGGCCCCGTCTTCCTCTCTCAGTGGCTGGTGGTTTCGAATGGCTGACCTTGTGGATCAACCATCATGCCAAACGGTCTCTCTGACCCTTCACGCCCTATCTACGTGGACTCTAAGTGACAACGGCACCCTAAACGATTTGATGGGGACCTCAGGGGGTACAGCGAGGGGCAATTCCGGAGAGGAGGGTGAGATGGTTGCCCAACTCCAAGAATATCGTGAATGTCACTCAACGGTCGTGCAGAAACTCGGCATCTTCTCCTAAACAACAACAAAAGGCAGGCAGCCACCGGGAAAGGCCGGCCCACAGCCTCGCTTCTGCAGTGCACACCAGCCCGGCTCACAGCTCTCTGCCCTTGGGCCCTCGCCAGCAGCACTCACCTGACTCGGCCACCTCCGAAATGGGCACCCCCTGTTCCTGAGACATGAAGCCCAGGATGGAGAAGATGGCAAACCCGGCCACGAAGCTGGTGCCGCTGTTGAGGAAGCAGAGGGCGATGCAGTCCCTGTGGGGGTGGGGGTGGGGGCGAGGGAGGGGTGGAAACCAGAGACGTCAGAAAGGGGCTTTCTGTCTGGGAACCATGGCAGGCAGGGGGCGGAGAGGGGGGCTGGCTATACAGGGGCTACCTGGCAGAACTACAACCATTTCCTGGTGCTGGGGCTGGCCCCCCCACTAGCCCGGGCTGGGAATGACCTGAGTGGGGCCATGAGGAAGCCCCACAGTGATCTAAGAGTTACAGACTGCCACCCAGCCTCCCCTCTCTGCTCCACTCCTACCACATGTCTCTCCTCCTTGTCATTCCATCTGTCATCCGAACGTGGGGGGATTTGGGTATGGATAATACCGAACAACAAAGAATCCTGACTCATTCACATTTGGTTTTGAAATGCATGCTGTGATTTGTTGAGGCTACATTTCAGCTCGCAATGCAGCGGAGCCAGGCCGGCAGGAAGGGGCAGTGGGGAGGGCTAGAGAGAGAGGCTAGGAGCCACCTATGCATCAAAGAGGCTCAGCAAAAATGGAAAAGGATCCAATGTTTGCAGGGGCAGATTTGCAGAGAGGGCTTGGCTGAGACTCAGCGTCATAACTAACATTCCTAATTTATTTCTCAGACTGGCTTACCGAGTACCCCGGAGCCAGCTAACCTCTAAATTCACCAGGCTGGCAAGGCCCCTGCTATGGTTTCTCAGCCAACCCCTTTGGAAGGGGTCCCCCTGCCCACCCTGCAATTGGTTCCTTTCAGCTCCCAGTGCGCCGCAGGATTGGAAAGTGGCAGAAGGCAGGGGGACAAAGGCCATGAGCCAGGACCCTGTCTAGCCCTTGGAGTCTGGGTCAGGGGAGAGCTTTGGGGGTTAGGGGTGGGGGTGGCTCAGACCCTGGCCCTCAGTCACCTGTAGCAGTTGTTGTGGTACTTGTTGTAGCTGCCCAGGGCTGTCAGGCACCCCAGACAGATGGCGAAGGAGAAGAAGATCTGAGTGCCTGCGTCCATCCACACCTACGGAGGGAAGGGGAGAGACCGTTCCACGCTGGGAAAAGCCAAGGCAGCTGAGCCTCCAACAGGGGGAACACAGGCCTGAGCTGAGCCAGGCACTGGCTGGGGATGGTGAAAAACCTATTCTCAGCCAGCGCCTTCCCCCCTGCCCCCGTCTTCCCCAGGGAGCTCTAGTCCCCGGCCCTGAGGTGCACTACAGTGGGGACAGGCATTGGACATTCTAAAGGAAACACTGAAAGGGCCCCCTGGGGACGGGTCCTCTGGCTCTCTACAACCATCTATCTCTGCTTTGTAACCCCAAGGCCTTGTATTCCGCCCCAAGGTCCTTTCTCCTGCGCTCGGGTGTGATGGCAGCATAATCATTTGGGAAGGAGCTATAGGAACAGGAGTTCACACCGGCACTGCACCCACGGGCAGCTTTGCCCTCACACCTCGGGATGTGCTGTCCCGTGGGAACCGGGAGCGGATTCAACCCTCGCTCGCCTGTGCACCCAAATGTCCAGAGGATGAACCGAAAAGCATCTGTGAAGGGCCTGTCCTCCTGGCGGGAGAAAACATCTCTCCATCTGGACCCAGGGTTCCGTTGGGACTGGCATGATCCCAGCTGGCTGAACCGGCCGGGAAGGGTTAGGATGTAGATTTAACAGCTAGAATAACATCGCAGCGCGCAACAACATCCAAGCAACATTGCAAGCAGGACTAAGCCATCCTGCAGATCTGAGGGGGCCGGCTCCTGGGACTCCAGCCACCCCCCTCCCCACCCCCACACTTCTGCTTTCACAGGGTGAGCACCCCCAGGGGGCACCCAGCTGTAGAAGCAGACATCACCAAGGCCGCGTCCCTGCACTCTGGTCCCTAACGGAAAGGCTCCTGCTTCCCGTACACCCTCTGGACTTTCATCCTTTTCCACCCACTAGGATGAGGCCTCCCAGACAGTCTGGCTTTCTTCTGTCCCTCCTCGGTGGCCGTCCTCCTCGCCCTCAGCCTCCTCTCATCATATGCGCCCCGACAAAATGCCCATTCTTCACAGCTCTTGTAGGGGCCCTGGGGGGGTCCCGTTGGCAGGCTGACCACCTCGTAATCCTGTTCATTCCTCAGCCCGCACCCCGTCTTGGCACACCAGGTCTCCTTCTGAGCCAGAAGAAGAACCCAGGAATGTCCATGATGTTCAGAGCTGCCTGGGGAATCCTAAGGAGGTGGACATCACAGGACCCTGAGGGAGACATGGGCCTTGGGAACTGGCATGAGGTTATATGCCCTGGCCCTCCCTCCTCCTGCCATATTTCCATGACGTGGCAATGAGGACCAGCAGGAAGAGACGACAAAGAAAGTGGGAGACTGTCTCTTCTGCTCACGGAGAATCCCACCCTCCAGGTATCCCACAAGGGCAGAGTAGCCAGTCCCTGGGAAGAGGTCAGAGTCAGGAAGCCCAGAGGGGAAGTGGGGAGGGGCCAAGGTGAGGCAGGGTGTCAGGAGGAAGCATTGGAGCAGCTGGGAAAGGCCATTAAACTTAACAATCAACAGAGGGGGGAAGAAGGCTGTTTGGGGATTCATTTTGGAAGATGGGAAAGGGACACGTGGGGATGAGTGGACAGCACGTGAGGACAGGAAGGTGAGTGCTTTCGAAACTCCAGATGTTGCTGTAGAATGGAGGTGGGCCAAATCTCGGAAGATGGGTTGGAAAGTCTGTCTAAAATCTTTTTTTTCTAAAATGGCCCCATAGATACTGTGGGAGTGGTCCTCTCCGGAGAACTGGCCTCCACTGTAGAGCCCAGTCTCCTGTCTCCTTCCAGGAGGCTGTACACGACTTCGAGAGCAGGTCCTGGCAGAGCTCAGACAGACAGGATTTTTCTAGGGAAGGGCTAGGGCTTCACTGGTATACCCGCTGTGAGATCTGGTCCTCCAGCATCTGGTCCCAAGGCCTATCCAGTTCTGGTCAATTGCCCCTCGTTACCCCCAGAGCCTCACAGTTACCACGGAAACCCCTGAAGGCCCTGAGAAACACTCGGGGCCAAGCAAGCAGGGGGCACAAGTCCAGTGGTGATGAAGTCTTGTGAACTTGGGCTTGGGAGGAAATCATGAAAGAAACTGTAACTTGGCTGCTCCCCTCGCCCAGGTGGGGACAGACCAAGACTGAGTTGGGAGGAAAGGTTAATGAGATCAGAGACAAATGCAGCAGGGGGCTGAGAGTTCAGAGTTCCAAGGTCAGATGGAGTGCCTTTGAGCAAAGCCCCCTCCCTGTGAGCTTGGCAAGCCCAGGCGCTCAGCACAGCTGCCTCGTGTCCAGCCTGCTGGGCTGGGGGACAAAGAACGGGGTCAGGAGGAGGGCTGAAGAAACTGCGGAGCAAGTTGTTCTGTTTCCCCGCCACAGGCGACCTCCTCCCTGCGTGTTCCCGGAGCCTGCGTTTCGGAAGCAAAGCTCCAAGGCACAAGTGACCAAGAACAAACCAAGCATCGAAAACACGGGGGGGGCGGGGGGGGCTGTTCTAAAGATCTGTCCTGCACATGAGTATTTTCCTTTTCTAAAGGGCGTTTGAAACTCTGTAACATCGGCTAAATTAATGATAACTATTAATAGAATCAGAGTCTGGTGGTGTACGGGTTATGCTTTGGACTGTGGTCCACAAGGCTGGCAGTTTAAAACCAGGAGAAAGATGGGGCTCTCCACTCACACAAACAGTTACCGTCTTGGTAACTCATGGGAGAAGTTCTAACCTGTTTATAAGGTTGCTGTGAGTCAGCATTGACTCGATGGCGATGATTTGTTTTGTTTTGAGATCAATAGAATTACCATATGCCTCATGGGCATGATAGAGAATGCTCCCCAATAAAAGGATAATGATGTCTCTAAAATAGACCAGGGGCATATATAAACCATAGATATAAGAATGGATTTTGAGCTCACGCTTATCTAAGACTTATTACATGGCTCTATTTGATACTTGCTCACATGAAGAGATCACTGAAGATATGGATGCTATAGTAAAGTGTGGTGAAGAAATAAGATGGTACCTGGCTGTCAGAAAGTATGAATAGCATCTGGAGCCCTAAAAGCTTGTCTTAAAACAAGCAATCATCTAAGTGAGGTGTCAGTCCACATGGAAGAAGCGGACCAGCCTGTGTGATCCAAGGACTGAAAATAATAAAATCCAAGACTGGGTGAGAGACCGGTGTTATAGCTTAAATTCTAAGCACCCTGTTTACAGAAGGTTGTGAATGAAAGTTATGATGAAAACCCCAAATCCCTTTGCAGGGTCCCCACATACATAAATCCTCTCTGGCTATTGGCCAGGGTTGTGAATAGTCTTACTATAAGACAGATGCACTGGAAAGTAAACTAACTCGGATGTAGTCAGGTTAAAATTTAACACCTTATCATTGCTTCTCCCTTTTTACCCATTTAAAATTAGTTCCTGTTCTTATTATTATCCGCTTTCCTTGCAATTGAAGTTTTTCTCTATTTGATTTTGGTTATTGTTTTGCCTTGGTGTGTGTGTGTGTTCCTTTATATGAAATCCAGGATAGGTAAAACTATAGAGACAGTAACTGAGTTAATATTTTCTTAGGGTTATGGGAGGGGAGGTTGGGGGCAAATGGAAAACTAATGAGGGCAAGAAAGATGAAAATGTTCTAAAATTGATTTTACTGATGGTGGCACAGCTCTTTTTGAAAACATTTAAATTATCGAACTGTATGATACATGAACTATGTGTCAGTAAAACGGTTAAAATTCGTCTTTTAAACAGCTGGGGGAAAGAGGGAGAAGAGAAATCAGAGTTTGCAGGGGGTGGGTGGGGCAAGTCACTGGAGGAGGTACAAATGCAGCTGCAGTTGTCGAGCATGAAGCTGATGGCTTGAAGCCCGCTCCCTGCCCCCACCTAATTCACAATTTTAAATGTCTTTGTAGAAAAGACAGAGCAGCCTAAGCACCATATATTGCTATAGTCTAATGATGTTTACATATGGAGATGAGGGACAGAAAGAACTGTTTCAAAGAGATGAGAATCTAGACAACAGGACTGAACAGAGGGGCAGAGTGGACAAAGGACTCCTGGCATTTGGTTTACGCTTCTTAGACGAAGCATGTTGACTAGTTTAATATAAAATTTCCCCCATTACTTAAAAAAAATACTTGATGGAATGTGAGTAAAATAACAAGTGTTCTGGAGGAAGAGAGAGGCCTGGAGAAGTTGTTTCTGATCTGAGACCATCCTCTTCCCGAAGGATTGATGGCTACCAGTTTTAGGAAGGCCATTATGTGCAATGGACAAAGCACAAACAGATCTGGGTTCAACACCTAATGTCACCACTTACTAGTGGTGAGGTCTCAGGAAGGTCACATAGTCTCCCTGCACCTCACTTTTCACTGCTTGGAAATGTGTAAATAGTGCCCACTCACTCCTCACCATCAGCATGGTTAGCTTCCAAAGACCACGTTGGTAGAAGAAAATCAGCCTCTTGTGAAAAAGAAGTGTGTGTCAGTCTGGGGACTTTAGAGAAACAAAGCCACAGAAACTCATGTATAAGAGAGAGTTTTTTCTTTTTTTTAAAAGTCCTGGCCCCACAGCCAGGAGAAGGACCTGTGAACGTGCTTGAAGAGAGGGTTTTATGTAAAGGTTAAGTGCGCATCGAGAAAACATCCCAACCCAGTGCTGCCCAAGCCCACAAGTCCAACATGAACCCATTAACCCTTATGTCCAACACCAATCCACAAAGTCCTCCTCCATCTCACAAAACAGACACAACGATGCCGACTGCAGGAGGAAAGCCGAGTCAGTGAACGTGTAAACATCTCAGTGCTGGCAGGGGTCTCCACACGGCTGCTCCAGCACCAGGGCTGCATTGGGGTAGGTCCATGTGGCTTCTCCTCAGGGATGTCTTACAGGAAGTCAGCCTTGCCAGCTAAAGCAGGGAACAGCTAAGGCAGCTGCGCCCTGGTGCAACTATCACAAAGCAAGAGACCTGAGAACTAGAAAGGTGAGAGTCACTGAGCCATTTATCCCTCTGCCTTTCAATTAACCCCACATGGTTTATCAGCCAGGTTGACACAATAAACTAACTCAAAGGGTAACCACATCAGATCACAAAATGATGGATAGCCATCTTATCACATAACTGCCCAATTGTATGGTGACATAACTGCCAAACCAGGAATACTCCTGGCCCAGACAAGTTGGTACAACACCTAACCATCACACCCAATGTGCCTCTCGCTTGCACCTTGGCCTTAGTCACTATCAGACACGCATCAGTGATGCACAAAATAATCGATTGCAGCTCTTCTCCTGGGGTCGTTCATGCAAAATGCTGGAGATTGAGAACAACATCCATTTCCTAGCCTGCTATCCAGAACAAACAAAAGCAGCCTTGCAAACTCTCAAATCATTCCTAGCCTCTAGAAAAGGCTGTTGCACAGTGATTACAACAGCAGTAACTCTAAAAGATTCCTTGGGATGAACCCAAACTTCCCTCCACCGGATAGCTGTGTGGCTGGGGTCCGATTTTCCTAAGTCCTGGAAGCTGCCGTTCCTTCTATAGAACGAGGGTAACTCCTGACTGAATGGGAGGCTAGACAGCGTCAAACTCGGTTAAGTGGTGAATAAAGAGCAGGTCATAAGTGTTAGCTGTTAAAACTGTGTGCTGTCATTATTTGAAAAGGCAACTACTCTGTCCATCGTAGTGAGGGGACATCAACATCAGGGTACTACACCAAAATCAAGGAGCCCCGCTGGCTCAGGGGTGAAGCACTCAGCCTCTAACTGAAAGGGTGGCGATCGGAACCCACTGAGCAGAAGCCCAGGGTGGTCTGCTTCTATTAAGAGACATCCCAGAAGCCCTGTGGGACCACTCAGCTCCATCACATTGGATGGCTGTGAGTCACAAACACCAACGTGAAAAGACACCTCTGGGTCCAAACTTCCTCCCCAAACGAAGCCTTCGTGAGAATGGTTTCACGAATGATGCCAGTCCTCGTCGACACACCAAGCACAATCGATAGAAGGTCAGCAGCGACCGGGCAAGCTAAAGAAACAAGCAGCTAGACTATGCATACTGCACACTGATGTGCCCAGGCCCCCCGCGCCCAAGACGGGAAGGGCAGGGAAGACGGCCACCTGCTCAGCACACAGCTGCCCGGCCAAGGAGGAGGAAAAGCCCAGCGAGAGGCAGCCTTGTCTCCGCTGGGCTCCCAGCTCCCGCCGCCGTGTGCTTAGCAGAGAGATGTCTTTGTTGTCCTCGGCTAGCAGGAGTTTTGCACCTTCCTCAAGTGCCAGGCAAATGCCAGTTAGAATTATCACACTTCCCCGGGAGTGCCAAGTAGAATCAATTAGGGCTCTGGCAGGGGCGTTCCACCCCGCAGGTGCTGCTCATGACAACAAAGGCCTCGCTTCAGCAGGGGACCAGGATCTGGCAGCTAACAAGGCTGCTCCAAAGCTCAGGACCAGGTTCTTGAAGCATGTCCTTCCCTGTGGCCTGAAGGCATTTGGACGATATATGCTCCCTGCAAAGCTTACAGCTGGCCAGGGCTCAAAGAATGCTATCCTGGAGCGCAGATAAAAAGAGATGTCTTATCTTGATTCCTGACTCACATACAGTAAATATTTGTTAAACGGTTGGAAAGGACTTAGGCATTCTCCCAACAAGTGCTAGGAGAGAGAATAAGAGTTACAACAGACACAGAATGATGGGCTTGTCAACCGTCAAGCGAAAGGAGGCTCTCTGGTCTACCTTCTCCATGTGGAGCACTCTGCCCAGAACAGGGCTGGCACACACTGGTGCTCAAGACCTGTCTGCAGAATGGCTTCGTGGTGTGTGAAACAAAGAGGGAGCGACGCTACCTCCGAGAGACCATCACAAGGCCTCATGGGATTTAACACCATTCAGACCTGGGTCTGGTTGCAGCTGTGAAGATGGGAAATGGTTAAGTTTTCTAAGGCCTTACTTTTCTCATCTGTCAAATGGGCTCTGCTGTGAGAATGGGCTGGAAGTGTGCATATCAACCTTGTAACTGTGCCAGGGGTGTGTAAACAATACTTTTTACCTCTGACGAGCTTATCAAGACAAGCAGGGCATTGATCACAAACAGGGCATTGATCACAGGTCCCATCTGGGGATTCTAGGCCTTTCTCCCCTTTATGGCTTCCAGCTTCCCTGTCTCCCTTTCTGAACTCGTGCCCTCCCTCTCAGCCCTGTCACCAAACAAAGGGGGCCTGTCTGCACTGGTCACTGCCTACGCCTCTGCTGCTGCAGAAGCACTGTCTCTCAAACAGGCAGACCCAAGCAAACGGTGAGCCCTGGTCCCCAAACCTTCCCTCGGCTGGACTGCGCTTGGTCCCAGGTTCTCAAAATAAACTTAAAAACAACGACACTTAGTCTGGCCCGCCATTGACTTGCTGTGTGGCCTTGGCTCTCCGTTCCCACCTCTGTACAATGGGTGGGGGGAAGGGGGCAACTGCACTAGGTCAGCAGTTCTCAACCTGTGGGTCTCGACCCCTTTGGGGGTCCAACGACCCTTTCACAGGGGCCGCCTGATTCCTAACAGTAGCAAAATGACAGTGGTGAAGTAGCATCGAAGATAACTTTATAGTTGGGGCTCAGAACCACATGAGGAACTGTATGAAAGGGTCGTGGCATGAGGAAGGTGGAGAACCACTGAACTAGGTGGATGGTCTCTGAACTCCTTCTGGTGTCAACAGCTGGGGCTCTACCGCTTGGCTCCAAACCCTACCGCAGCTCCTGTTCCCCACTTGGAAACGAGCGCAGCAACAACCTGTATCTTCACATGGTGGAAGAAGTGGGAGGAGAAAGTGGAAATTTCTCTATCTCCAGAAGAGATTCCCGGGCCCTGAGGCGACCTGGGAGCGCCTGATTCTACGGGGAGTTCGGACTGGATCTGGTGTTGGATTCTTCTGGGAAGCGCCTGGGATGGAAGAAATTCGAGCTCCGTGGGGGCCGGGCTGGGGGGCGGGGAGTCTGGAGACTTCAGAACACTCTTCTGGATCATGCCGATCCCACACAGGAGGGAGCCCTGGTCTCCGTGTGAACTGAGTCCCAGGGAACAGAGTGACCGTGTGCCCTTCCCACTTCTCTTGCCCCCGCTCAGCCATTTCTGTGAGTGTGCTGCTACCTCATTATTCCCATGGGTTCTGAAAATCCACGCAAGTGGTGGTACCCTGGGTGGTAGGATTCTCCTGCCCTGACATCTCCCCAACGCCCCTTTCATTGGCATCGAGAGCCGCCTCCACCCCTACCCAGAGCTCAGGCCCCTGGGTGGCACACATTCCCCCCCAGGGAGGCTGTGCACACCCCCCTCTGTTTCAAGGAGGTAGAGGGGGGGATATAACTGGACAACAAAACTTTAAGGGCTTTAGGGTGGTGCTGGCTTCTGTCCCAGGCAGCAAGCAGCACCGCCCCTCCCGCCTGGGCTCTGGAGAAGTTGGCTGCAGCAGAGGGAGGAGTGTGGGCTGGGACAGGTGGGAAAGAGAAGGGAGCCTCTTGACAACTGACAAGAAAATACCAGCCCAGCGGGGGGCAGGGGGTGGGGGGAGGACAGCGATCTGGGCCAAGGAAAGGGTCACAGGGACAGAGGGACAGAAGCAGAGAGAGTGGCAAGTTAAGGGCAGCAATGGAGAGGAGGTTCTGTAGGAAGTGAGATGAGAAAGGCACAAAGACAGACTGGACACCTGGGGGGGGGACAGACTGGACACCTGCCGGGGGGACAGACTGGATACCTGGGCGGAGGCGGGGGGCCGGGGGCAGGATAAGCATCGCTGTCGGTGATGGAGCTGCAATGCTATTGGAGAAATCGTGCCGGGCTGCAGCCCCTGGGGGTTCCCTGACAGCGGTGAGCCAAGGAAAGACAGTCTCAGACACCCCAAAGTGGATCAGCCGGGACGTAAAGTAAGCACAGGCTTATTTGTGCCTGCTTGCTCACATGTAGCGAACCATTTCACTAGATCCACGTCTCTGACGTGTGAAAAAACACGTGAAACTATTCATGACGGATGCCTAGACAAGCAGCAGCAAGACCGCGCTTGCCTTGCTCTGGGCACCCTGCCCCTGTCAGGGACGGTCCATTTGAAAGGGGGCTTTGATTCTGCAGGAAGGTGCTGTGGGCTTGGGGGAGAGACAGAGGCCAGCCATCCTGAGAAGCCGGGTCTCAGATGTGGTGGAGGCAAAACAGGTGAAATGGTTCGCTACAGCTTAGTAAGTAAGCACAAGTAAGTAAGCACAAGCTTGCCTGGCTTATTGGGTAACCTGACATGACACACACGTTGTGACCAGAGCACTTGCTTATAGCTCTCTGGGGAAGGAAGGGTGCCCGCCCTGTGGATGCCCTGGTATTGGGCCTCGAGGGGGACAGGCCTGCTGGGGCGTCTTACCTGGGGATCCCATAGCCGCGTGAGGTTTGGGTACAGGTAAAATTGAATCCCCTGGGCTGCCCCCGGCAGAGTCACCCCTCGGATTAGCAGCACCACCAGCATGAGGTAAGGGAACGTGGCTGTGAAGTACACCACCTGCGAAGCAGGGGCCAGTGAGTCAGGAACGGGAAACGGGCAGTCTGGGATAGCTGGAGCACCCAGCGAAAAGGCCCAAGGGGCTCTTCCCCCAGCAGCTCCCTGCCATCTCCCCTGTGCCTGGAGCCCCAGCCCACCCTTTCTCTCCTTCCCTCCGCCCTGCCCCACGCTCCCACTGCCCCTGGCCCAGCTGCAGTAAGTCTGTGTGGAGTGACCCATGGAGCTTAGGCAATTCTCCCAACAAGTGGACTTGGAGGCGTGTCCAGGAATGCCAGGAATGACAAGCTCCCTAACACACGGTCCCTGTCCCTGTACCCACGGAGTTTTTGAGCTTAGAAGCCAGGAGGAAGGAAGCTTTGTCCAAGAGAGAAATCTAGGAGGAATCAGGGCCCTCCAACATCTCTTGCAGGCTGATGTTGGAAAGAGAGCCCCTACGTGGCTCTGAGCTAACAGTGATCTCATTTGCCTGTAAAAATGAATGTATGGCTCTCGAATCACTTTGTTCAGTGGTTGTGAGGGACAGGATTGGCTCTTCCATCTCAAAAGTTTGCCGATCCCTGCTCTCGAGGAAAGAGACCTCCAAGCCCCTGCTCCCAAGAGCAGACTCGCCAGGAGGAGCCACGGAGCCATGGACTCTGCGATGTGCAGTGTTCAAATTCAGGTGCATTTGGCAAATTCCCAAATTAAGTTCCTGTGGAGGAGCCCTTCCGGCCTTTCTCTCTTCCCTCCATTGCAGTAACCCCCATACCAGAGCGTGTTGATGGAATCCAGGAAGAGGCACGGAATCAAAGAAGGAAGTCACGTCTAATCTCTACTGGGCTATCCACGTCATGCATCCAGCCCCACCCGCGGCACTAGGCTACCCCTTAGGGAACTCTGAGGTGACCCGATCCGCAGTGAGGGCAGGTAGCCCTAGAATGGGCAGTGACAAGAACTCTCCCACACAGACCTTGCCTGTGGACTTGACCCCCTTCCAGATGCAGAAGTAACAGATGACCCAGGCGAGCAGGAGGCACAGGGCCAGCTCCCAGCGCAGGGCCCCCAGGTGCTGGATGCCGTCAGAGATCTTCAGGACTCGCCTCCTGGGAAGAGAAGGCTTGAGCTAGGCTAACTTTTGCTGCGGCCCCAACTTGGCAGGGCTCTTATCTCGCTCGGGCAGTGAAGCCACACCTTCAGCAGAGGAGCTGTGCCCCCGGCTCCGTCCAAAGAAAGGCTTCTCGGGTCTTTTCACCCAGATCCACCGGGCTCTCCTTTGCCCAGATATGGGGGCAGATAGAAAGCACAGCCAACCAAAGCTTTGGTTGCTCAAAGGTGAGTTTGCTCTGAGCGATTGCGTACAGATTTAACCTGGGGAAGAAGGTGCGCAAACATGTGTTCTCAACCCAAGGCGTTGGGTGTGTTAGGTAGCCTGCCCTGGGTGAGTGTGATGTTTTGGAAGGAAGTGGCAGTGGAGAGAAGAGAAGAGTTGGGAGCGTGAGTCCCAGCACTTGGAGGGGAAAGCAAACGTCTCAGCACACCACAGACACACCCGCCAGAAAAGAAGCCATGGACGTGGCCAAAGAGGGAAATGAAAAGTCCCTCCTTGCTGTCCACGGAGAGTCCCCACACCCTCCTCTCAACCCAGGGCCCACACTGGAGTCGGAAAAGGACCTCACTTACTCCCAGAACTCGATGACAGGGGAGGTGGCATTCTCAGAGGTCACATTCAGGGAGCCATTGGTCCTCTGGAACTCCACACAGTGTTCTAGCCGCAGTCCCGGGAAGGAAGAAAGAGAAAGATCATTAGCCAACACTTGGCATGACTGGACTGACTGGGATGAACCTGCAGGACACTGAGAAGCAAGATGTCTGGAAGGAGCCAACCGGAAGTTGTTTGTACAAAACAACCTCGTGTACACATGATCTCAACAGTCCGACTGCATCCTCTCCTACTCACGTGCATGTACAGGTCTGTAAATGCATCAGAGTCCCAGTAGCATTCTGGGTGACACATTGGGCTGCTAACCACAAGGTCAGCAGTTTGAACCCACCAGCCGCTCCACAGGAGAAAGATGAGGCTATCTGCTTCCATAAAGATTTACGGCCGCAGATGGATTCTGGGCTCCACTTTATTCTAGCCCCAATCCAAGAACAGTTAGTTCTTATAACACGGCCATGCTTGATACTCAACTTCACGAAGAGATCACTGAAGATAAGAGTGCTACTGCAAAGAAAGCAGATGGTGCCCAGCTATGAATTGGAAGACTGTCAGGGGTCTTTAGGCGTGTATTCAAAGAAGCAGCCGTCTAAGTGAGCTGTCCACTAAGTCCACACCAAAGAAGCACACCAGCCTATGTGATCCAAAGATGATTATAACACACTCCAAATATGATAAAGGGAAAAGTGTCAACTTAAAATGTGGCCACCCAGTTTGGAGAAAGCTGTGGATGACGGTGGAAAACCAAAATCCATCTGCAGAGTATCTAGTCAGATTAAGCCTAGGGCAGATCCCCTCTAACCACAGGTGAGGGACTGTAACAGCTTTATTATCAGACAGAGATGACTGTAAACTTGACTTTGGTGGCTCCAACCATGGCTGACTATGATACTTGTTCCGTTGACCTCTCTTGACTCAACCTGAATTTGCTCTAGGCTCAACTATTTCTTGCTTGTTCCAAGACAGAAATTCCTTCTCTGACTTTTTAAATACTGTTGGTGGTCTTTTCTTTCTTATTCTTTATTTTTATGTTAATATTATTTTCTTCTTTCTGCTTCATTTTGTTTTTTTATTGTTTTTTGTTAGGTTTTCCACTTTATGAAGCACAAAAGGAGTGGATGCATCGAGACCTAACTGATGCAATGGTTTATGGCGAAGGGGGGCAGTTGGCAGGAGGGGAGTTGGGGAGCCATCAGTGAATGCAGGAGGGGGGGCAGGGAACATTAGAACTGACTGTTATGATGTATATACCACTCTTTAAAAGTGAATATTAAATCAAGAAAACTACCAAACAAGAGAAAAGAAATCAAACTTGACCTATGGTGACCATGAATGAAGGAGGAAGAGTTTTTATTCAGGGCGGACTGAGTTTATGTTAATGGTGGTGGAACAATTTGGAGAGGGGCATCGATAATGGTTGTACAACATGAAGAGTATAATCTTTGACACTGAATTATACATGTGGAAATTGTCGAATTGGAGAATGTTTTGTTGTGTGAATCTTTTGCTAAAATTGAAAATTACACAAATAACAATCAACACAAGGAAGAAAATGTGCTTTAAAATTCACCTTGATATGCGTGAACTATTGAGTTGTATGATATGTAAATGAACTGCCAATAAAACTGTTAATGAAAGAAAAGGTTTGTAGTCTGGGAACCCCAACGGGGTGGGTCTACTCTCTCCTACAGGGTCGCTGTGAGGCAGCAGCAACTTGGCAGTGGGTTTGGGAGTCCCTGGGCGAGGCTAATGGTTGACGTGCTCAACAGGAAATTGAAAGGATGGAGGTTCACTCAAGTTCACCCAGAGGCACCTGAAATGAAAGGCCTAGTGATTTACTTAAAAAAAAAAAAGTTGTTGTGTTTTAAATCAGCCATCGAATACCCCATGCAGCACAGTTTTACTCTGTGAAAAGAGGCTCTACCTGTCACCTGCTTCCAAGTCTATGAATACTCATATTTCTAGTTAATTAACTGTCTTAAAGGAGGTCACAACTTTTGAGGAATGGTAAGAACGTTTCCTGGGAGAGGGATACAGCACAGGTACAATGATAGGAAAAGCCGGCTCCAATCCTCACTCCTCAGCTCTTCACTTTGTGGCCTGGCCTAAATTACAGTCTCAGCTCTTTAAGCTGTACTACAGATGAGACTACTATCCGTCCTGTAGGACTGTTGGAGAAGCCCTGTGGCAAGGTGGTTATGCATTGGGCTGCTAACTCCAAGGTCAGCAGTTCTAAACCACACCCCTCTCTGAGGGAGAAAAGCAGGGCTTTCTACTCCCGTAAAGAGTTGCAGGCTTGGAAACTCACGGGAACAGTTCTGCCCTGTCCTGAGTCAGCACTGACTCAATGGCAGTGAGTTTGGTTTTCGGTAGGATTGTTAGGAGGATTAAATGGAAAAGTGAATGTACGAGAGGTTATAGAGAGATTATAGATAATGTAGGAGATAATTACACAGAAGTGTTTATGGTGATGGTATGATTTGGGAAAGGATAGTAGTAATGGTTGCACAAAGTGGTGGACATAATCAGTATCACTGAATTGTATATGTAAAAGCTGTTGAATTGCACATGTCATATTTGTATATAGGACACAATAAAATAAGTAAATAAAGACAAAAAGTGTTGGTGAGGTCAAATATAAGTGCTTTCCTTATGTATTGAGTTAGGAACCTGTAGTTAAAACGTGTGAAATAAATGACTGCACAACTCTTATAAATATGTTTGAACCATTGAATTATATGATATGTAAATTATGTCAATAAAGCTGTTAAAACATTTTTAAGTGTGAAATTGAAAAAAAAAACTATCTTCAGATGAACAAAGCAAAACATTAAACTGCTGAATAAGTAGTGGCTTATACCATATATACTCAAGTATAAGCCAACCAGAATATCGGCCAAGGCACCTAATTTTACCACAAAAACGGCATTAAAAATGTGCTGAAAAACTCAGCTTATACAGGAGTATATACGTTAATGATCTGCATGTCACTTAGAAAGTTCACAGAGTATTCACACTCTTTTTTACATTCCCTTTGTTGAGTTGCTAAGCATCAGGTCAGCAGTTTGAAACCGCTGGCCACTCTGGGGAAAAACCAAAGCTCCCTAAGCCCACAAAGAGTGACAGTCTCAGAAGCCCCTGGGGCAGTTCTGCCCTGTCCTGTAGCGTGGCTATCAGTTGGAATGACTCAGAAGCAGTGAGTTTGGGTTTTGGTGTGTTTTGGACAAAAGTCCTGGGCAATCTGAAAGCAGAGGGCTTTCCCCACTGCACGCAGGAAGGAACGGAAACTTTTTTTAAAAAATGGGTTGGTGACATCTGGAATCCAGATCAGCAAATCATGTCGAATCTATCTTCAAAGTACCTAGAATGGTACCTTTCTCATGATTTCTCCTCCATCATGGGAGAAAGACCCGTCCATCCGCTCTCATAAAGATTACAGCGGAGAACACCCTATGGGGCAGGTCTCCTCCATCACGAGCTCTCTGAGTCAGCGTTGGCTCCCTGGCGCACACCTCCACCACAGAGGTCACCTTCAGCTCACGCCTCCTCACTCGCCTCCCATTTCTACCCTGGCCTTCCCCGTCTGGTCTGATACAACCAAAGGATAAAATTGAAGTTCCTTTTGGCCACGCCCAGCTCAAAACTCTCCAGTGGCTTTCCCATCCCACACAGACAAAGAAAGCCAGAGCCACCGCAGTCACTTCCAATGCTGTACGCAGCCTACATTCTAGCACCTCCTGCTCTCCCGGACTCACCCAGCTCCACACCTGCCCCCAATGGGCTTTAGGCACAATTACACCCTGTGGTAGTTACATAATCTGTTGTCAAGTTGAGACTTAAGAGTGAAGGGGGCCTGTGTTATCATCAGGTGTTAATGGGATCAGGTATCAGGCATCAAAGACCCAAAACAAAACAAACCAACCAACAAGCAAAAAGCATATCAATGGGAATGAGGGGGAAGGCAGAGTGGAGACCCAAAGCCCATCAGTAGTCAGTTGGCCACCCCCTGACAGAAGGGCCACAAGGAAGAGAAGAGCCAGTCAGGTGCAGCATAGCACCGATGAAACACACAACCTTCCTCTAGTTCTCTAATGCTTCCCCCTCACCCCACCCCACTACCATGACCCCAGTTCTATCTGACAAATCTGGCTATACCAGAACATGTATACTGGTACAGATAAGAGCTCACAACACAGGGAATCCAGAGCAGATAAACCCCTCAGCATCAACTAGAGGAGCAGGGACACTAGGAGGGTAAGTGGGGCGGGGAGTAAGGAGGAACTGGGTCATAATGATTGACATATGGCCCCCCTCCCAGGGGGACGGACAGCAGAAAAGTGGGTGAAATGAGACAGTGGTTGGTGTAAGTCATGGAAACATAAAAAGAAGAAGAATTTATAAATTATCAAGGGGATATGGAGGAAGGAGGGTACAGAAGGCAAGTGGGGGGCGGGGGGCGGGAATGAGGAGCTGATGCCAGCGACTCAAGTAGAAAGAAAATGTTTTGGAAAAGATAATGACAACATATGTACAGATGTATTTGAGACAATGCATTATGACAAGAGCTATAAGAGCCCCCAGGAAATAAAAAATAAAATAAAAGAGTGAAGGGGTGGAGTGTAGCCTGTCAATCAGGTGGCAGCTTGATGACCTCATTTGGAAGCGCTAAGTAGATAAACAGCTTGCTGGAGGTGGGGCACAACACTCCCTGCGAGATATTCCTGGTGACTAGCCTGACGGAGCTACGCTGATGCAGCCAGAGCTCTGGAGCCAGAGGAGCCACGTGGAGACCTCTGCCAGCGCTGAGATGCTTACACCACCACTGGATCCACAAGACTTCCCACCCACTGGTCTGTGATCTTCCTGCATTCGGCGCCATTGCATGTGTTTCGTGAGTCTGAAGAGGACTTTATAGATTAGTACCAGACATGTGGGATAACACTGGACTTATGAACTCAAACTGGATGTTTTCTTAATGTACAATTACTCTTTATATAAAGCTCTTTCTTATACACATGAGTGTCTATGAATTTCTTTCTGTAATGTACCCAGACTAACACAAGCTTCTTGAACTATGAGAGAATAATTTTCTGTCCTTTAAAGGCACTCACTTGTGGTATTTCCTTTACAACAGAAAAAACTGGTAAGAGACAGCAAAAGAGAAAAAGAATTGCTATTATGAATAATATTGATGACATACAAAGTATCTTAGTTCCTGGTGAGACCCAGATGGATTGTGGTCTTCAAAACCCTAAAGTAGTCAGGCGCACACAGACACACACACACCCTCATACATATGGATCAAACAAACCAGATTGCAATGTGAAATAAATGGCTAACTTACATAAAAAGCGGTCCGTTCTATTGACATAACACATGAGTTTTCTAAAGAAGGCTGGCACTGTGCCCGTGATGCCCGCACATGCTGACTGTTGTCCTCGCGGTGAAGAGCCCCGGCGGGTACCGGGAAAGGCCCATGGTTGCAGCCTATCAGGTGCGCAGCCGGCTCTTGTCTTACGGGGTCGCTGTGCGCGGGCACTGACACGGGGGCGACAGGTCAATGGGTTCTGCTCGGTCTGGTTTGCGGACTGACCTGTGTTCCACTCGTGGCGGCAGCTCCCCCAGGGCAGGTCGGTGGTGAAGCTGCTGAAGAGGTAGAAGAGGGCCCAGGCCAGGACAACGATGTAGTAGAAGTTGAGCAGGACCACGATCACCTGCGAGGCGTAGCCGATGCCTGCGGGCGGAACGGGCGGGATGGGGCGGATTGCCCGCGCGCTGCCCGTCCCTGGGCCACTGGCAAGGTCCCCAGTCCGGAAGAGCGGGGCCTGGGTTCCCGTTCTCTGCTCACCACCCCCCACCCCCGGGCACCCAGGAGTGGGCTGCTCGAGCCGAGCCACCCTTCCCAGGGAGTCTCTCCCTCTGTCTTCTGCTGCACATTCATGTTTACTAGATGCTGAAAGCCCCCGATCCGAGTTAATTTAGAAATACGAAAGACTAGCTCCAAGATCGCAGTAGTTAATGTGTTCTGAGACTAGTCTGATACACTTCTGAACTATGTGAACACGAGTGAAGCCCAGGAGCAGACGATTTACAAAGAAGTAAAAGCTCAAATTGCAAAAGGCATCCTCCAAAAAAAAAAAAAAGATCCATCCCCCACTCTGCCCCTCACCCCACCCATTAAACGACAGGTTCGCAAAACTAGATGAATTCTGAAACATCATCTGGGTTATAGACCTAGCAAAATTGCTTATAGGTGATGTATAAGCCAGTGGTTCTCAAACTTGTCTGAACTTCAAGGAGCCCTGCTGGTGTAGTGGTTATGTGTTGGGCTGCAGTCTGCATGGTTGGCAGTTCAAAACCACCAGCAGCTCTGAGGAGGAAAGACTGGGCTTTTCTACTCCCATGAACGGTTGCATGCTCAGAAACCCACACGGGCTTACACTGACTTGCTGGCCGTGAGTTTGGAATCTAAAGTAGTTGTGTTGAAAGGTAAATGTTTTTAAAAATGCAAAATGTAAATGTTAAAAAGTTAAAACTATTAAAGAATTTTTTTCCATTTAAAATTCTCTTTAGAAGGTTTTGCAATTGATTATGTTCTTAAAATACAAATTCATTGTTCTGTATCCAAGGGGACATCAAAACATTCATGGAAAAGTGGAATGAAAAGATATTGGACTATTTCTACACTTTTCTTAAAGGCCCCTAGAATGCAGCTACAATATCTTGGGACACTACTCATTTAAGCCTTTGCCCATGTCTCTACCTCCACCCATCTACCCACCCCCTTGTGGACCAGTTGTGTATAGCCCGCACCAGGAGGACTCGTCACAGAGACGGTCTTGTCTCAGTCCCGCACTGTTGCTAACAAACCAGTCATTCCAATAAGCACTCCAGCCTTGGAATCAGGTCCAGCGTGACTCACCCTCAAAGATGGGGCAGATCCTCCTCCAGGCTGTGACCCCTCCCTGGCTCGTATACTGACCCAGTGCTGTCTCCAACAGGAAAACAGGAATGCCACAGGTAAAGAGGAAGATGAGGTAGGGGATGAAGAAGGCACCTGCGGGTGGGAGACAGGTTATCCGTTACCTGGCACTAATCTCATGCGCCACCTCCCCATTCTCGCATTACCATCTGATGCTGTCTATCAGCATCCTGGAGTGGGGCATCTGTCTGGATGTGGGGAACCCTAGCAAGAATCAAAAGTTAACAAGGTACCTGAGATCTGCTTAGCCCTGCATCTTTCCCCCTGTGAATTCCAGCCTGCCCCTACCAAGGTTTGTTTCCCATCAGACATTGACAACTGCCTGCCTTCGTTTCTCAGTGCTGGTAAAACAGAAATACTACAGATGGGTGGCTTGAATGAGCATACATTTATTTTCTCACAGTGGAGAAGACTAGATGTGGGGCCATTGGAGGGGGAATCTTTGTCTCAGCTTCTCTAGCCTCAGCACTCCTGGTTTCCCTGGAAACCTCCACCATGGCATCCTTGACTCCATGGCTACGCTGTTCTTGATTTCACTCAGAAGTGATTAGGTTTAGGATGCACCCTGGACTGATTATAGCAACATTAAGGCAACAAAGAAAAACTATTCCCCACAGTTGACCCCACCGGTATCGGGATTAGGATTTCAGCATATATTTGGAGAGGACACGATTCCATCCTCAACGCTGCCTCAGTAACTCACAACTTGTGCCAATAGCACAGAGCTCCTTGAATAGCAGATGCCCAGGAGCATTGAGCCAGCCCACAGGCTGTCATCCTTTCCAAGGAAGCGATTGCTCTTCGCGTCATTCCAGCAGGCGGAAATCAAATTTCCCAGAAGAAATCATTTCTGCTTCGGTTTTCATGATTGCTGGTTAAGATACGTCTACCAAAGCCAGACGAGTTGGCATTTTCGCCATTTGCTGACTAGGAGAGGTTCTCTGGATAGAGTACCAGAGAGGAGAGAACTGACCAAGGAGAAATGATTAATATCTGCAGAGGAGCCCCCTAGAACATTCCACGGGAGCACTAGTCAGTCATACATGTGAGAACACTCCCCCAAGCAAGGAAAGGAAATAGCCATCCCCAAAGACTAAGAGTCATGGCGACCGGTGCTCACACAAGGTTGGGAAAAGTCCCCACTCCTACCAGACAGACTGAGTCACTTCAAGATTCCCCAGACACTGAACAGAGTACACCAAAACGTAACGTCCCAGGAGTGGGAACAACTAGCTACAGCCGGAGGACTCCCACAGTCTTGTTTACCAAATCATGAAAAAGAGACCCAACGAGATTAAGTAACTCAAAAAGATCCAGTCCCCAAACAAAGCTCAAACATATTTATAGAAATACAAAATAGCCACCAGCAAGGCAGAGTCACGGTGTCTGTCATCCCATTACAACTGGAAAGACACACGGAAACAATTACTTCAATGGACTAACAGATCAGGCAAACATCCTGTTCCACACTCCTGAGCCAGAACTGCGTGGTACCCGGCTGTCCCTACCAACCTTTCCCAAAGGCTCACATCAGAAGGCCCTTCGTAGAGTAGGAGGAAAGGTAGCACCAAAGACAAACTCACGAAAGAGGCCAGGTTTATTGTCACACAGAGAATGATGAGAACCTGAGACCATGACCCTACCTTTCAGGTCTGGAACTGAACCCACCTCTACATTATGATAATCAATCACGTAAGGTCAAACGGCAGAGGGTTAAGGGAGACGGGGAAACAGAAACAGGAAACCCAGGACGGAAGGAGAGGAAATGAGGGTACACCGGGGAATGAGTCGAATCCAAATCTGCATACCTGTTGACTGTGGAACTGTAAGCCATCAGCTAATGCACACTAAAGAGTTTAAAGAAAAAGAGGCAAGCAGAGAAGAAGGAAAATATAGCCCACAATGAGTAAATAAACCAATTGAAACTGACACAGGTTTTAGAATCAACATATCTTTTGTCATGAGTGAATTCTGACTCACAGTGACCCCACGTGTTAGTTACATAGTAATAAATAAATAGATACAATAACCATATTCCATAGTGTCATGGACTGAATTTCTTTCTCCAAAAAAAGTATATGTCAGCTTGCATAGGCTGTGATTCTCTGGTTTGCAGTTTCGGAATGATGTAATGCGGTAGTGACGTCATGATTCCCCATAAGCCAATCAGTGGTAAGTGGTTAAGTGGTAAGATGATTTAGCGTGGGTAGAGTGCAACACCTTTCATCTCATTGCAGCCCTGATCCAAAGTAAAAGTTCCTCTGGAACATGGTCTGCAATACCTTTAATCTTAGAGATAAAAGGAGAGAGAAGCAACCAGAGCAGGTCCTACCACCACCAAGAAAGAAGAGCTAGGCGTGGAGTGACTCTTTGGATGTGGGACTCCTGCACAGAGAAACTCAGAGACCTCGGAGAAGATTGCTACTGAGACACAGGGAGATCACCCAGGTGATGGGCCCGTGCTCCTCAAGTGTGAGCTAACACAGAGAGAAACTTTCCCTGGAGCTGGTTCCCGGAATGTGGACTTGTCGTGTCCTCACTTGTCAAAGAATACATTTCTGTTTGTTTAAGCCATCTACTTGTGATATATCTAGCATACCGTACACATATATCCAGAAAATTAAATGTAGGTATGGAAGATATTTTTAAAAGACCCAAAATCAAACTTCCATAGATAAAACTACAATGTATGAGATAAAAAAATAAACTGAATGGGATGAATCACAGGTGAGACACAGTAGCAAAAAAGATGAATGAGGCTGAGGCATCGATGTAGAAACAAAAATGAAACACTGAAAAGATCATTTTGAAGACAAAAGGCAACGTCAGTGAACTGCAGGGCAACTTCAAGCAGCCTAATTAGACATATAACTGAAATCCCACCAGGAAGGAAAGGGTAAAGAGAGGGGTCAGAACAAAGCATCTTAAGAAAATAATGACTGAAAACATTCCAAATTTGATGAAAAATACACACACACACACACACACACACACACACACACACACTGAAAGCATTAACCAAAACAAGGCTTTAGGAATTGATAGAATACCGATTGAAATGTTTCAACAAGCTGATGAAGCTCTTACTAGAAGATGTGTAAGCGACTTGGCCAGCTGGCTGGAAGAGATCCAGGGAGCTGCCAGAAGTTCAGGCCAGATTCAGAAGAGGACGTGGAACAAGGGATATCGTTGCTGATGTCTGATGGATCGTGGCTCAAAGAAGAGATACCAGAAAGATAGTTGCTTGTGTTTTATTGACAATGCCAAGGCATTTGACTGTGGTCATAACAAGCTATGGATAACCATGAGAAGAACAGGAATTTAGAACACTTCATTGTGTGCATGCAAACTTATACATGGATCAGAAGGCACTTGTTCTAACAGAATAGAGCTGTGTGGTGTAAAATCAGGAAAGATGTGCATCAGGGTTGTATCCTCTCATCATACTTATTTAATATGTATGCTGAGCAAATCCTCAAAGAAGCTGGATTCTATGAAGAAGAATGTGGCATCAGGATTGGAGCAAGGCTTACCAACAAACTCAGATATGCAGATGACACAACCTTGCTTGCGGAAAGTGAAGAGGACTTGAAGCACTTGGCGATGAAGATCAAGGACTGCAACTTTCAGTGCGGACTACAAGTCAATGTAAAGAAGACCCCAATCCTCACAAACTGGACCAAAAGGTAACATCATGGTAAGTGGAGATAAAGTTGAAGTTCTCAAGGATTTTGTCTTGCTTGGATCCACAATCACTACTTATGGAAACAGCAGGCAGAAGATGGCTTGCATTAGGTCACTCTGCTGCACAGGACCTCTTTAGAGTAATGAAAAGCAAAGCTGTTACCTCAGGACTAAGGTACAGCTGACCCAAGCCATGGTATTTCAATTGCCTCCTGTGCATGTGAACGTCGGACATTGAATAAGGAAGAATTGATGCATGTGAATGGTGGTGCTGGAGAGGAATATTGAAAGGACCATGGTCCGCCAAAAGGACAAATGTGGTCTTAGAAGAAGTATGACCAGAGTGCTCCTCACAGGCAAGGATGGTGAGACTCCGTCTTACCTACTTTGGACATGTTGTCGGGAGAGACCAGTCCCTGGAGAAGGACATCATGATTGGCCGAGAGAAAGAGGAAGGCCTTAAGGAGTTGCACTGGCACCATAGCTGCAACAACGCGCTCAGACATGGGAATAACTGTGAGAACAACCCGGTGCAGGACCTGGCCGTGTTTTGTTCCGTTGTACACAAGGTTGGGATGGGTCGGAAGAACAACACAGACCCAGATAGAAACAAGCGCCAAGATAAGAAACAAAGAAAACCAAACAAGGTGCATCACCATAAAGTGATTTGGGTGTAATAAATAATTTTAAGTGAAAACTATACAGGAAGGCAAAAAGAAGATGAAATAAAATTTCTTATTGGAAACAAAATAAAATGGAGAAGATAGAGTGGAACATATTTGTCAAAATACAGAAAGAAAAGTAACCTGTCGATTTAGAATCCTATATCTAACATTCTAGAATCCTTATGAAAATATTGTTCAAAGATAAAAGTAAAATAAATAATAATTCATCACTATAAAATATGTTAAAATAATTTTTCCCTGTGTGTGTGTGTGTGTGGAGTAGAGACCCGAAGCCCATCTGTAGACAATTGGACACCCACTCACAGAAGGGTCACAAGAAAGCAATATAGCACCCACAAACCATACAACATTCCTCTAGTTCAGTGGTTCTCAGCCTTCCTAATGCTGCGACCCTTTCATACAGTTCCTCATATTGTGATGACCCCCCAACCATAAAAGTATTTTTGTTGCTACTTCATAACTGTAATTTTGCTACTGGTATGAATTGGTGACCCCTGTGAAAGGGTTGTTTGACCCCCAAAGGGGTCGCGACCCACAGGTCGAGAACTGCTGTGTCTAATTCTTTAATGCTTCTTCTCCACCACTATCATGACCCCAATTCTACCTTACAAATCTGGCTAGACCAGAGCAAGTACACTGGTACCGATCTCAACACACAGAATCCAGAACAGATAAACCCCTCAGGAACAATCATGGGAGGGTAGG